ATAGAGGTTATTTTTAATGTTTCTTATCTTTTTTTTTAATACTGTTCAACAAATGATTCTGTACTGGTTTGCTTCTGTATTTTTCGATGTTTCTCATCCGGTTTTTGTTTAAAAGCCATATGCATGCATGTTTGTGTCACTCTTTTTTGCCTTTGAATAATATGTCATACTTTATATGAGTTTCTTGGATTATTTATCAAATAAGCATATATGCATGATACAGACTGTAATGCTTCTTATTATCTTAAGTCAACTAAATGTAATCCTAATATTAAGTCAAAACAAAAGAAGCTCTTCTATTGAAAAGGATTCTAAACGACTTAAGTAATAATTATTCTTTTTCATAACTAAGTACAAAGCTTTTTTCATAACGGTCAAACAAATGACTTATGTTAAATGACAAATGGTTCTAGTTGTCAATTAGTTAATACAGAATAGGAAACAAAATAAAAATGTATTGTATGAAGAACAAAAACGTTTGCTGTCGATTGATTTCAATACAAACGAGAAGTAAATTTCAAACTTTTATGCATGAATAATATTACTAGTTAAAAAAACTTCACATATCATATATTGATATATATTTTATGACGTAAAAGTAAACCATTTTTTCTTATATTCTTCTTTTTTTTTTTTTATTTCAAGGCATTTACAGAAAGAAAAACCAATTCAACAGTTGAGAATCATAAACTCTCTTACAGTTGGACAATTCATAAAATGAACATAATTAGACATATGCTACTAATACATACATTTTATGAAATGTAATGTGCATAAGTCTTACAAGAAATTAAGATTTGTAGAGTAAAAAATCTCTTCAAAAACAATACCTCGACGAACTTTGTACGGCTTACGATTGATTTTTGATTGTAGGTTAATGAAGAACTTCAATGGACATTGAAATCAAAATGTTCGATTAGAACTGTGCATCGTACAAATCTTGTTGGCTTCTTATCTCATAAGAAATTGTTTACTTTACAATCCGATAAAATTTCTCACACAAGATGGAACTACCTCAACTGTAATTCATCGTTCGAACTCATATTGGATTCATGATGAAGTCTCGGCAAGACTAGAAAAATTCTAAAGAGTTCCTGTTCATGAACCTTTCGAGTCCCGCTATGGTTGTTGAACTGAATTTTTTGTTTATTTTTAGGTATTTACTGGAAAATTAAATAATCCAATTTCGACTAGAAATTCAACCTATAAAAAGATCTAATGATTTTTAAGATATTCTCAAAGCTTCAGTCGAAGAGAATATTCATTTCTTGAGCTGTTGGGTTTCCAACACATAATTGCTTGTCATAAACATATCAGAAAAAAAACAAGATTATTTAAAAATTCAAGATCTCAATACAGGAGCATTCTTTTTAGTTGAAACTTTCAAGATATTCCAAGAGCCATTAGACTGACATATGGATGAAATTACAAGTCGAAATTCTATCATTTGATTTTGCAGTAAATGTCTAAAAATAGTTCGAGAACGCAATAAAACAGCCATAACAAGAGCTTGTCAGATTGGTCCCAAGTTTCCAGCTGATGGGCTCTAGCGTAGCCACCAAATACGAATAACTAGAAAAAATTATCTCGTATCTTTGGGATGACTATCCATTCTGATTAGAAAATTTCAATGAAAGTGTCAAAATACTGTTCGAACAAAATTGGATCCAAAAAGTTTTGACCTGACGGGCTCAAGTCATAATTCGAATTCAGAGATCTATAGATATGAACCTTTTAAACTGGTTTTTAGTCTTACTAAGATGCTTTTCTGACTCCATATGGGCTCAAGATGTTTGATAATATCTCGGTTTTTTTAATTGTGAACGTTTTATGAAAAAAAGAGTAACAATTTCATTTGAAAGGTTTGTTTATTTTATCAATCGACATCTTATTTTCATGACGTTGAATATATAAATCAAAACATAAAATACATGTTCATATTGCATTTTGATAGAAAGAAAGAAAAAAAACAAAAAGTTAATGATTACATATAAGCAAATATTTAACGGATAAAACCCTGAGCTTGTTTATGTTTATCAAAGAAGAAGAAGAAGAAGAAGAACCAGAAGAAAATAATAATAATAATAATAATAACTAAGGATTCATCGTTATATTGATAATTTTGTTTTCATATCTTGCATATCAATAACTTGTTCTTGTTCACATTCAATTCTATTATCTAAATATGTTAATATATCATTTATAGAACGTTCTTTATTACAGTCACTATTAACGAATAGTAGAAATATTTCATTATAGATATTATTTGAATATAATTTATGTGTAACAAGTCGAGTTTGTTCAATATTAAGCCATAAATCATCGTCAAAACTTTTCTTTTCAATTGAAATTAATTTTAATTGTAAACGATTTAATTCAATAAAATATCTTATTGTTTCAATTGAATGTAATTCAAATGAAAAGTTAATTAATAAATCATATAGAAGTTGTTTAATTTTTATTTCTGAAAATCCATGAACATATTTTATATATAAATCAAGTAATGGTTTTAATATATCATAAGTTTTTTTATTCAATATAATTAAATTCATTAATTGAACAATTATTTGTTTATCAAGATTATTCAATGGATATTCTAATATATAATTATTTTGTTTAAATAAATAAGTTAAATGTCGTATTATTAAACGTATATGATAACATTCTTCAGATGTAAATGATAAATATTTATCTTCGTATTCAAAATCATCAAGTGTTATACCCAAAAGTGTTATTGATAGATTTTGAATTATTGTATACAAGGAGATAGCTGTAATTTTTTTCGATGATGATGATAATATAAGTGGACTTTTGTAGATATATGATGAATTAAGAAAATTTTCATATAATGGATAAACAAGAGGATTAGCAAAGTTAACAGTTCGTATGACATTCTCAATCTGAATTAAAAGAAAACAATTAGCCTAGTTTTTATGTAATTTATATAATATTTTTATTTAGGTAAGTCACATTAAAAGCTAGTAAAATTGATAAAACAATAATAATCTTTGGTTCATTCTTTTTTAAGTAAGCAATTAGTCACGTATACAGAATAAAGGAGATTACTCTGAATTCTAAATTTGATGAGATCTAACTCTTAAGTGTTGTTCTTTATAGCTATTAGCTTTAGTAATTAAGTTTATTTTTATCTTGACTTTTAACAAATGTTTTTCGTTATGTCGTTATAATACATCTCATGAAATCTTCTAGTTTCTACTTGGGTACATTTTTGCTTTTGTTTTCTCTTTTACGCTAAGACTAATCGTGAAATTTAAAAAACATTTTCGACATAAACAGCAAATTGAGCATAATTCAAATTCTAGTATCGATATGCTAAAATTCCATTCCGTTGAGATAGAAGTCTCTAAGGGTCCGAAAAAACAACAGAAATAGGTAACAGATTGTTAGAAAAAGTTCATCAACCCTTTTTTAGAATTGTTGTCATTTTTTCATGACTATTCACGTTGGGCAGAACTATCTGCTAGACTTTCGAGACGATACCTCAGTAATATTTTAGTAAATCAAACTAAAATTTTACATAAGCTTTGCCAATAGTTAAAGTTTCATGAAAGAATTTTCCACTAGATGAGATTGTCATTCAAATAATGATCGTGATGGTAGAGAAGATTCAGAACCATGTAGAGATGTCAATCTTTGATTAAATTACCTAATCTTTTGACTAAAACAAAAGCATAGAATCGGCTTCACTTACATGCTCAAAAATCATGAATAAGACATATACTCGATAACAGGTAACAGAAAACTTATTAGGCAATCTTTTTCAGGCTGAAAGCTTAAGAGAAAGATAAGCATTCTTCATCACAATTCTTCTTGTATTTAAGCAATCGAGACGATCTCATCTAAACACTTAGTGAAGTATCTACATCCAAATTTTCATATCTCTAACATGTATTATAGCTGAAACACGAGATATAAAAGACTTTTGTCCACTACTGAAATATATTGTACCTAATGCATGATTCTATAACTATCAGTATGTATCTTATGTACACTTCTCTTACCGTTGTAATTAAATATTGTTTCGTAATTGTATGTCCATATGTCATCAAATGATATATACGTAATAATTCAGCAATACGATCAATAAGTTTTCCGGAAAATTCATTCATATCATGTAATAATAAATAAAAAAGATTATTTAATTGAAATGATGATATACTTGATGATGAAAATGACAAAACAAATTGTACAACTGTATTAAGTTTATTTGTATTTAATATAATTTTATTTGTTGATCGTTGATACTTTTCTAATTCTTTACTTACATTTATTATTGAATTAACATTATATGTTGAAAAATGTATTAATTCAACATTATTTAAAACAAGATAAAATAAACGTTCAATAAAAACACGTTGATATTGTTGATGAAATCCACTAGAAATAAAAAAAAAGAATTATACATGAAACGATGGTATACAGGTATAATATTTTACCTAAAACGACGAATATTAACTGGTTGTGTTCGAATAAATAATTGAAATAATTGAATTTTTGATTGTAATAATATTTGTCTATTGTCTTCATTATCTAAACTATGATCATAATCGAATGATTTATATTTGATATTCATCATAAAATTTTCAAATGCATTTTGTAATTGTTTTTTTTCTTGTGGTCGAAAAAAATCATTATCTAAATGATATAATTCAGGTATTCCCAATATTGTTGTAGTTGTGGCCATTTGCCTATGTGGATACAAAAACAAATAATTCGATTAACAATGTATTCTTCATTGTTGAAATATAAAATGGATTACTAATGTATATTTATCAAAACAAAAAAAAAAAAAACAAACAAGCAAACACATAAGAATTCACTATTTCATTTCAAAACCAAATGTACGCCTACATCGATTTAAAAAAAATGGAAAAAAACAGAAACCACTGGACGGCAACTTGAAAGAAAAAAGTTTGTTTCAAAACAGATCTAAAAGTTGACACCGAAATGGAATGACATAACAGAGAATGTTAGTAGATCTAATGCGTTCGTAAAACAGTTAATTTTCGAAGTTCAAGTTTAACACTTGATATTTGTTGTTCAACACGTTCAATTTCTCGTTCAAGTACATCACATAATTGTCGATCAATATTAGTTAAACCTCGTAATGGTATACGATTAAGACGAGCTTCTAAATCACGTTTTTTTCTTAATAATTGATCAAATTTTTGTTCTAATTGTTCACTTTGTCTCGATTGTCTATCAACTGATGTCTAAAAAAGAATTTTTGAGATAAATAAATGTACTTTTAAAACTACTAAAAATATAACAATATTTACCCTATTTGACATTGGTTCAACACGACGACGATTTGGTGAAGGTTTTCTTGGCGAATAAGAATGTCCTATAAATAGTCATTAGAACAATTTAGTCTGTTTTTTTTCTATTATTCTACTTGATGGAGGTACATATGGCGGAGGAAAAGAAGGTTTCTCATTAAGATAATCACTAATTCTTGTCATTGGTCTTGGTGAATGAAGATGATGTATTGAATTCTCAGCATCTATAAAAGAAACAAAAAAAGATTTCAATCGAAAACGAATTCTTAAGGATTTCTTCACTTTCCGAGGTTTTTTGGGAACGATTCATCAGAGAAATTTGAAAATTGCAACGCAAATAGATCTTGATGAGCAGAGAAAAAATTGTCATCTAAATGCTGTCTCCTATAGAATAATAGAGTCACAATGCCGAAGAATAGTTGCCGGTTCTCCAAGATGCTATATTCAATAGAGCTGAAAACTTTTCTACAGGCACAAGACACCAAGATTCTGCGTAAGATGAGATGGGACAAAAAAGTCGACGCATGAGATGAGTCATCGCGAAGTGTCTCATTTGAGATGAGACTATCTTCAAATATATCGTCCCATCCCATCTCACCCATCCTACTGGACTTCAAGCTCGTCTAATATCAAAGAATAAATGCTGAACACAGCTATTGTTTCCATCAATACTGCCAATTTTTACTTCATTGTATTTTATATTTCATGATTTTATCATAACTACAATCAAGTTCAATTTCAACGAGAAAGAACTTTATTTCAAAATGATTGAGTTGATCCTAACGAAAAAAAGGTTTTTTTTGTAAAAGACGTTTCTCTCATGGAATGTCACGGGATGGAATATTTTCAAAAACCTCGCATGGGATGAGATGAGACATATCTCAAATATTTTTCGTTCCACGGGATGTTTTTCAAAAGAGTTACATCCCATGGGAACCATGGGACAGGATGGAATGGGATGTTCCCATCTCACGCAGAGCCCTGGTAGATAATACTTCCAACTACACAAGAACTGTAAAGAAATAAAAAGTTTGGGTCAAAAAAACCGAAGTTTTTTTAATTCTCACCATTTGATCGATATCTTCGAGAATCAATATTTGTACCTCTTGATATATTCAATGTCGGTGACGTATGTCTTGTTGTTCCTAATGTAAAACGTCCGTATTCTCCTGATGTTGTCTGATTTAAAGCCATTGTTGAACTGAATTTATGATCATCATTTATTCTTTAAATAAACGAAGATAAAAAAAAACAAAAATGTATTTATTAAGGAAAAATTTTATTCATACCGATTGTTTATTCGATTATTATCATTTTCTAACATAAATATTTGTCGTCGTAGAATTTCATTTTCATTTTCTTGTTCACTATAACGTTCTTCAAGTCGAAGAAGACGTTCCTAAATAAAAATATCAAACAAACTGAATGATTATTCATTGAAAAATCAAATCGATCATTGAGAGTTAATACAGTACGAAAAAAAATTAAAAGAAGAAGAAAATTATTTATACTAAATATCGAAAAAAATTCCCCAAAAATTAATAGAGATCGTCTCACCCACTCGGGCCAATGACGAAACTGAAAAAAAAAGAAGAAATTAAATTATTTATTTACCCTTGTAAGATTAAGATCGGTCTTGATCTTTTCATTTTCTTCCCGATAAAGTAATGCCTGTCTGTCTGCATGACGGAATTTTTCATCTTGTCGCTCTTTTGTCTAAGAATATTAACGAAAAACTCATTTAAAACTAGACTATCCATTTAAATAGATAAGACAAGAAAACATTCATTGTTTTTTCTATTAAATAAGTACGCACGTTTTCAGCTTCGCTTAATTGTTTTTCAAGATCAATTATTGTATGATGATAATTTTTAAGGTCAAGATCTTTCTTATTTAATTGTTCACGTAATTCTTCTAATTGTTTTTTAAGTAAAATATTTTCTTCTTCTGCTGTTTTCTAAACAAAAAAGGGAGAAACTTTTTTTTTCTTGTTTGTTTTTTATCATTCATTAAACTAACAAATGAATGACGTAATTCGTTTATTTCATCATTTAAACGAATATTGCCATTATTTATTCGTCCGGTAGTTTCCATTGATTGACGAGTACTACTTGATTTTTGACTAATATAAAAAAACAAAAACTATTAAAAATTAAAAAAACCAAGTGAAAATCATTTCAACCCCATTCTTGTTCTATTTAATTGACTTTTAAGTTCATTTATTTCGTATTCATAATATAATTTTAAATCAGCTATATGTTTTGCATGTAGAGCAGAAAGTTCTGTTCGGAGACTAAAAAATAAAAAACAACAACCATATTGAATTCAATTAGAAGGAATGTATTAGTTACATGGAGAAGAGAAAAGAAAGGAGAAATCAAGAAGAGAATAAATTGAAAGAAAGTAAAAAAAAAACAAAGAAAACTTCACTACTGCAATGTAAATATGTGGTATTTTTTTTCTTGATTCGATACTTGTACAATCAATTTTTTATTAAAAGAAATTTTTAATTAATAATCCATATAAATAGTATTACTCAAGGTTCAAAGAATACGTTTTCTATTTAGTAGAGCCATTTATAAAGAGATTATCACCTTAGGATTTTACCGACAGAAATGAAAAAAAATGTCATCGTATTGATCAACATGATTTTGTTTAATTATAAAACTTGTTTACGTCAATATGGAGAACATGTTAAGTATCTAGATTGATGGTAAAGGTGCTATTAATACAAAACTTCTCGATTCTCAAGTCAATATTGATTTAATTTCATAGTAATACAAAATTTAAAGCATTACATATATTTTGAGCGACATTTTTTGACTTTTTTTAAAAAATATTTTGTTTTTTCTGTCATAAACATATACGTACTTGGCAATGTCTTCTCTTGATCGAGATCGTGGTACATTATTTGTACCCATGGATCGTCTTTTTTCTGATGTAAGAATATTAAGTGTTGAATCGGCTGGATAATAATGAGAAATAAGATCTTTAGCTAATGTTCGATGATGATGATGATGATATGAATGATCTTTATATCTTCCAATATTTGAATCAATTGGTACTGATGAAGGTGTAGGATATATATGTACTGTATCATCATGATTATCTAATCTTGATTCTTGAAAACTATGTGAAATATAAGATAAAAAAAGGTTTTTTAGACTAACAAGCATTTTTTTTGTTTCTTTTACCCATTCGTTAATGTAAGATAATCATCAAAACGACGTTTCATTTTTTCTTCAAGATTATGCATTGAACTTTCATACTGTTGTTGTTGTTTTTCTAAACGTGCTTTATGTTCATATTCAAGTCTCTCAAGCATAGATAACCAATTATCCTATTTATAAATATACGAAAAAAAACATAGGAATTTTCATTAATATGTCTAAAATAACAATATTTACATCCGGTTTTCGTGAGCCACTTCCATCTTTGCGTTCAAAATGACATGATGTTACATGTCTTTGATACGGATGAGTGTTTTTTCTTTGTAGATTTGAACTTTCAGGAATGTCAGATAAATGTTGATAACGTTGTTGATCATAATTTATTTGTTCATTTGATAAATGTCGACCTAAATTAATATTTATTCGATTTGATGCAGCATTATCAACCAAATTAGTTGAAAGTATATCTGGTGTTGATAATGGTAATGACATTGATCCAATTCCATCTATTGTTCGTTCTTCTTTTGTACTTGTATTAAGTGTTTGTCGTTCTGGATCAATAAGAGCTTGTTTTAATTGACTACTCAAATCATCAAGATTTTCATCAATTAATGTTGCTTGACTATCTTGTCTTAATGTTTGTGGTAGAAATCTTGGTAATGTCGCTTGTTGCTGCTGTTGTTGTTGTTGTGATGATGGTGGTGATGATTGTTTTTGTTTTGGACGATGTAATGCATATTGAATAACAGAATCTGTATCTGATGATGATGATGATGATGATGATATTACCTGACGAATTCGATGATGAGTCGTTTGTTGTGTTGATAAATTTAAACGTTGTTTAATTCTTTCTTCTGAAGATAGTAATGGATTTTGTTCTTGTGGCTTTTTAGGTGTTAAATGGGAATCAACAATTGGTTGAGAAAATATTATTTCATTTGCTGGTTCTCTAACTGGATTGGCCCCATAAACTAAATTATCCCAAGTCATAAATCCTTCTTGTTCTTGTTTTTCATTTGTTTGATTTTGAGTATCAGTATGAATATTTGTATTCATATCTACGTATATTGTAGATGATTTATTTTCATTTTGAATATCATTTGAATGTTGTTGACTAATAAAACGAGGCATTTTGTTGGATCTTGATGATGGCACTATATCCTATTGAATAAAAATAAAATGTTAATTTTGCTTTAAATAACTACAAGATTCTTCATATAAGGTTTTGAATTCATAAGAAATACTCTTTAGAAGATTAAGACGTGTAAAAAAATATGCATTGACATATTTCACTGTTTACTTTGTGAACTTGAATAACAAAACAAAAACAAACAAAAAACGAAAGTTTCAAACCTCTTGCTCAAAATCATTGAGATCATAATTTTGTGTTGCTTGTTTACTTGTATCATCATCTTCATCAAAAGTATGCCGTTTTTGTAAATAATTATCATTATTTTCTTCTTCATTATTATCAACGGGTAATTGTGATGCTGCTTGGATAATAGCAGCTAAATTATTTAAATCATCTTGTATATCATTAGCAGCATTTTTTAATTTCGCATCTTCGTTTCCTTGATTATCATGTGTATCATGATTATTATTTGATGCTTGATTATTTAATACGTCATCACTTGATATTGATGAATCGGCTGATGATGAACTTTGATATTTTGTATTGGTAAAGACTTTTTCGAGATTCTCATTTTTATTTTTTGTTAAGCTATTTTCTTGTTGATCAAGTTCATCAGGTAAAAGATCTGTTACATCAACCTTAATAATACAAAAAGAAAACGTAGAAATAGTAAATACAAGAAAAATCAACGGTCATTTTTAGTTTACCATTCTTGCGTGACTGAAATCAAGTCCTTTTAATAATTGACTATATTCGGGTTGACTAATACGAAGATCACTATTTTCATCTGAATTATCGTCATTCTCATTTTTGTGGTCTGTTTCATCATTCTCAATAGTTTCTAAAAAAGAAAAAGAAGTGAAATAAGAATTTTTTTATACTTGATTTGTTAGTTTTTATTCCAGGCTTGCTAAGATGAAAACAAATATTGTTGTTACTTTGATGTCGAACAATCATTCAATTACAATGAGTTTCTTTTTTCATTTGTATATGTGTACATACCTACTCCTTCTTCGACTTTTATTTCTTCACTGTTCTCGTCATTCACTTCTTTCTTTTTTGATTCAGTTTTTGTTTGATCATCAGTCGTAGGAACACGTGTATGGTTATTTGCACCAGTGAAACCTGTTGTAAATGTTGTTGGAAGAAATACAAAAGGAACTATAATGGTAAAACAATAGAATTTTAAGAACATAAATAATCACAAACAAATAACTTACATCCACCACGAATAAAAAATGGTTGAGATGCTGATGGAGATGTATCTTCTACATCGTCGTCTGCCATCTGAAGAGAAAAAAAAAGGGAGAAAGAACAAAAAAACGTAGACTTACAAATTAGACAATACCAATTCATGCACACTTCTTTCTCTTTCTTCTTTTCTGTATGACTTTCGAGAGTCACTCAACTCAGACAGAAAGTGAGAATGAAAATGAAAGATTCGTTTCGTAGTTTTCTTTCTTATAATCACACTCACATAAGTTTAGACTGATGAAAAAATAATACTACTATATACTTCCTTTTTTTTGTTGCTTCGTTTTTCGTATAATACGCAATACAGCATATAGTGATAGTAGCAACAAAAAGAATAATAGGTAGTATCAAGAGAGTGCTAAAAAAATACAAAGCGAAATGTAATAATTTATTTGTTTAACGTTTCCTTTCTTTTATATCAATATGAACCAAGGTTAATCTTCATTGTTACCAAAGTAATCTCGTTTTAACAATATTAAGTGCAACAGCAAAAAAAAGAACAAGCAAAGTCATTATAATTAATTTTTCAAATTTAGCTTTTCGTTCATATTGATTAATAAGATCACGTGATGTATTGATTAAATGTTCATTAAGAATATATTTATCGATTGTTTTTGATATTGTTGATGATGAATCAGCTAAATAAAAAGAAATTCTTTTTTTTCTTTTTTCTTTTAATTTTTGAACTTTATTTACTGATAACATCTAATGTTTGAATACCACGTAAATCAGCATCTTTTAATAATTTTTGTGCTTCTAATATTAAATCTGTATTACGATTCGCTTCTTGCATATAATCTAAAACATAAATTGTATTTATTTGATATATATATATACCGTTTTTTTTTTCTTCTTTTAAATTTAATAAAGAAAAAAAGAAAGAAAACTAAGTATTTGATCTGACTTTGTCCTATTTATATAATGAAAAATAATTTATTGATAAGAAAGATTGTTGAACAGCATTTCAATAGCTGTACTTAAAACTTTGCCTAATTTTCTAATAAAATAAAAGAAAAACGAAGATAGTAATGATTAAATTTTCAGTTTTATTTTCTTACCGATTGCTTGTAACTTTTTTAATTGATGATAACATAAGTTTACGTTCTTTTTCATTTGAACATTGATTATATGCTTCAAGAAGTCTACAGTGAACTTTATATTTAAAACAAGAAAAACAGAAGTTTCAAGTTTTTTTTTTTTTTACTTTGCTGGTGTTGGATAAACTTCAGTCAATGCTAAAACATTATCTACTGACATACCAGCTATTTGCATAAGAGCACGAGCAAACATTTCTTTCACTGTTGGCGGCTAAAAAGAAATTTTTATTTGTCAAGTATTTAGAAAAAAACATTTATGATACAAACTTTGCTTTTTATAGTACCGGAATTAAATGAATCAAATGTCATAACATAATGTTCAGAATCATTATAAGATGTTTTATAATTATTACTCATATCAGTGTCACTTAATATATGTAATGTTTTATCCTATAGATATGTAATAAAAGAATATTTATCGAAAATTTTTTAATAAAAAAAGAAAAAAATTACTTTAAAATGTGCAATCAGATGTTTTGTCATTGTTACTAAATAATTGGCCATTTCAACTGGATTAGAAACTTCACGAACAAAAAAATCTTCAGCTACCTGAAAAGAAAATATTTAAGTATCAGAAGAATCTTTCGATAATTCAATATTTTAAAATGAAATTTTCTACCTGAGTATTTACAATAGCTTGATTAAGTGCAGCTGGTGTTAATATTCCAGGAGCATTTGTATTCTTTATACTTTCTACTAAATAAATTAAATTCGTAATACCACATTGTTTAAGACGAAACTAAAACATTAAAACGAGATTTATTATATTTCTTTTTGTTCAATAAATCATAATTTACTTTTTGTTCATTATATCTTCCATCAATAATACTCTTCGATAAATCATCTAAACGTTTACGTTCAATAATATAATCAAGAATAGCTTCTACTTTAATATCTGAATCATTAGCTATAAAATACATCAATAAATAAATAACAGACAAATATTTCGTATAAATAATTTACATCGAACTGTCCAAAGAAAATCACCAAGATTTAATTTTCGTACTTCAAAATTAATTGAATTTTTTGTTAAATTTTCAAGAAGAATTTTTTGTGTTGGTCTTGATGCTTCAGCATTATCAATACAAAGAATTATATGATATGAACCAGCTTTTAATGTTTGTACAGATTTTGGTTCAATTAAATTTTTTTTTACAGGTAAATCAATAATACCAAGAAGTGTTGAAATAGTTGTTGATTGTATTGTCATGTTTGTTGGATTATTAAATAGTTTTGGTCCAGCACTACATGTCTTCTTTATTTTTTTAGTTTCATTATTTAATTTTGCCTGTTTTGCGGGTGGTGAAGCAGTTTTATCTTCATCATTATCACTAAGATTAATAATTCTATTAGGTTTTTTTCTATCATCAAAATTTGACATTGATACTGTTTTACATAATGTTTTTTTTGGTGTTATTGATTTTTTATTAATATTTAAGTTTTGATCGATCATTTCACATATTTTTTCACCAAATCCATTTAAAATTCGACAATCAGAGCCTGTTTCTAATCGAAGAGGATATTTTTCTAATGATCGTAATGCCTATAAAATTATAAATTTCTATAGAATTATGAAATCATACTTTCTTTCATCAATTCAAGTACTTTTCTATAACAATGAATTGTTTGAGTACCATTTGCTTTTGCATCATTATACCATTCTTTAATAAGAACCATTATATGATCATTTGGTGAATTTAAACGTCTTTTTCTAATTGGTTTAATTAAACTGATTGATGACGAGGAGGAGAATGAAGCCATTCAAAGAAGATTAATTATAGAGGAAAATACTTGAGTTAAGTTGGAAAACTTTCAAAATCAATCGATTTGAAAGCTGTGTGAATCATTATCTGTATGTAAACCAATTGACTTTTTTATGAAGAGGTCACTAGCTGGTGAATTTATTATGTATTTGCTTCATGTAGTATTCATCCGTCCGGAAGAAGAAGAAGAAAAAGAAAAGTTTCTTGCATTTTTCCCGGCGAGATGTTTTTTTTTTTCGTCATCACACTCGAACAATGATATCGTCTGATTGTAAGAGTTATAAAAATAGCAGAAGAAGAAAAAAAGTAACTATATGTATATATATATATCTTATTCTTATTTGTCCTTGCACTTCAAGCTTGAGCAATAATGCAAAGAAAAATGGTTCTTGTTATCTAACAGAACAACACTTGAATATAAATCAATCAAAACTTTTTTTTTCTTTTTGCCCATCGTTTTCAAATCTATATACTTGTTCTTTTATTTAAAATACATGACAAATAAACGACACTAAGATATAATCGAATGGCAAATATAAATGAAAAAAATGCCTTCACAACAACAAACAAAAAAGTGCATAAGGGAATGCTTGGATGTTTTTTATTTTGTTCAGAAATAAAATACAACAACATACACAACGTATTGATGAGTTATACATAGAATAATACTAAGACAAAACGACAACAACAAAAAAAAAAACAAAATGAAATGATCATCGTTTTAAGTATCTTTCATTTTTTTGTTCATTCAAACACTCATCTGACTAGTGTCGAGTGTTTTTAATTTTGTTTTTGATCTGAAATTCAACGAGGATCATTTCATTTTTGATTTATTCAATAGTTTACAAGGACAGATCATGTTTAATATAGAGAAAAATAAATGAATTGAACAATGAAAATCCTGAAAGAAAAAAAAAAAGAAGAGTACAATATTGTCACTGTTTTGTTTTTTGGTCCCATCACAACAGCAAAAAGAAGGATTTGTGAGCATTCAATAGGAGATTCACGAAACAAAACAATAAAAAATAGGTAAAGTAGTGTAAATAAGACACGAAAAAGAAAAATCATTTATTTTGTATGTCATTGATAAAAGCATCATTTAATATGTTGGCGGTTGATAATTTGATTGTGCTTGTTGTGTTGCCGTAAATGGTGGTTGAGAAAAACTACCTGTACCACCAGCTGGTGGGTATCCACCATATGTTTGTCCGGTACCTGCTGAATGATCTTCATAACTTGAACTAAATAAATTTGAAACACCTGCACGATAACGACGAAATGTAAAAAATACCAATCCACCCTGTAAAAAAAAACCAAATCTTTTGATTAATATTATCAAATTCAAATCAATATTTTATACCCAAGAAAAAATTGAAAAAAAAGCAAAGGCAATAGCTGCTTGAACATTATTACGACCATTCCATCCGGGTATATCTTTCTCGTCTGTTTGTCGCCATTGATCAGCCATATAGCAAAATCCAACAAACCATAAGAAAACCAAAATACCTAAGATGATGCATGATTTGATGAACAAAAGAAAAAAAAATGCCCAATTATTCTTACCAGATGTAATTACTTCTGCCAAAACGATTCCTTTACGTTGTGTAATATTTGATATATTTGGAAAATAGACATCAAGTCCCATAAAAAGCATGGCAAAAAGAAATGCTATAACACCAATTGCAACACCATATCCACAAGCATTTGAACCATTATAACGACATATATTATTCGCATAACCTTCCTGTGCAATGCATGCAAAGACAATAATAGCAAAAACCTATTGAAAAGATTTTTTTTTTTTCACTAATATTTAAGAATTATTTATTACATACCCAAGAAACAAGTCGTAAAATAACCTGGGGTCTTTTTATAAAATCAATTAGATCAAATGTAGATCCAGCTCGACCAGCACCAAATGCTTGTGGTTCCATTGATGGATTCATTCGATTTTATAACAGTAAAACAATACTGATGAAAAGTATCTATAAAAAAGAAAGTAAAATAAAGTTACCTTTTGATTTTTTTTTCTTGCAACACAAAATAAATATTGGCGATCAAACAACTTGTTCTTTCTACCAGAACATAATCAGAAGAAGAAAAAAAATAATCTGGTGATTCATGTTATACAAGGTGCGAACAACAATAATATTTTGATTTACTTCACCTGACA